AAGATCTCATCCAACATCGGATCATAGAATGGAATAGATGCCAATGGCGGAGTAGATGTAGCAGAAACTTGATGCTGTACAATCTTGGTCTGAGTAGACAGTAGTAAAGTATCTGGAGGTGTTATAGAATCGAAAGGGGCCTTAGGAGGAGCTCGAATCACATAATCCCCAAGGGGATTAAAATATGAAGTATAGGAAGATCTGACAGTCTGAAAAGGAGCTAAAGTAGTAGGATCAACAGAAGGAATGACTGATTGAGATTCAATATATGTAACAAGCAAAGTGGTAGGATCAACAGTGGTAATTGGTGGTGGTACAAAAGAGTCTTTTGAAGTACTAGCATGGTGCTATCTCATTTGATCTCTCCTAACTGGTGTCCATCTCTGACGAAGTTCCACAACTACTTCCTTTCCTTTACCCTTGTCTTTGGTCGATTAAAGAGGCCTAGGAGCAGGGTCAGTAGGGGTGGTGCAGTAGGTGGTGGAGGTGCAGGGCATGATCCAATCATACAATGTTCATCATTGTGCCCAAAGTGTCTGGACTAGAAACAATAATATGGTATCTTATCATATAAAATAGTCTACCAATATCCACATCTCTTCTCCATCTCAATCCATATCTTATCAAGGAGCTTAAAATCAATATCAACCTCAACACATACTCGTGCCTCACTAGGTCGCTGTAAATCAGAAATAGTTTCATCAATACATCGCGAAAATCCAATAGCCTTAGATATAGCAAACAAACTGCTCGTTGCCCTGTAATGGATGGGAAATAATGGAAAGGAAACCCAAACGAGGACAATGGAGGTCTCATGCTAAAGGCTAAAACTAGGTGTCCATTTGGTTACTCTCATGGGACACCCGTCAATGTACCAGGTGAGCTTAAGAAATAAACGAGAGTAATTGTCCTTGTGTGCCAAGTGAATCAAAATATGATAATAATCTATAAATCCTATCATATAATCACCCTGTAATCCAAAGCGCGAAAAACTATCGAGTACCTTGATCATATACGACTTACGATGAGAGAATTTGCCAACAAGTGTGAACTGGTATGGTGCAGAAAGATGCTCCTCCTCCTCCTTTGTAAATAAGACTGCATGCTCACCATTATGTATAAATGGGTCTTTAGAGACCAACATGTAATCAGTGGTATCCAGTGGGGCCTGAAGAGCCAATGTAAATGATTTTTTCTAGCTTCGTTTGACTTGAGATATAACAGTTTTGCTCGAAAGGACAGCATCGTATGACTTTTGAGCTTGATTTGGCATTTTAGGAACCTCGGTTGGTAAATCCGTTGATGAATTTGTGTGTAGATTAACTGGGCTACATTCTACCCAAAAAGTGCAAAAGTGCCGGCGGGACCGATCGGTAGTGGCTGCTGGACCTCCGATCTCGTATTTTGATGAAATTTCACAGGTTAGTGTAGAATTGGGTACTAGTCATGGTAGATCGACGCGTTTGGCCGGACGATCAGATTGGCTAGAATTACAGATTTTTCGCCCGACTGCACCATCTCTAAACTAGCGATTTCGGGCGCATCTGGTGTCCTTTCAGGTTGAAATTTTAGGGGAGTGTTCTTCATGGTAGGGGTGCGTAGCTATTCGGTGTCTGTAGGAAAAGTAATTTCGCGGATAGTTTGTGGCGGCTCGAATTCCAATGTCGCGATTTCAGCCAAATTAGATGACGAAATTCCCACCCTAAGGATTTTTGGGCCATCTGAGTTCATTGGTGATGGTCCCGTCGCAAAATTCTAATTGAAAAGGGCTGAAACGGGTGCATTGGGATGCATGCCACGATTTTTTTGACTTGGATCTGATCTGATTTGTTCAAAAACTGTTGTAGGTCACAAAATCATATTTCGAGTACAAAAGACCCAAATCAGGTCACAAATTAGTAAAAAATATATCATAAAACTCACAAACCAGGTCACAAAAATCAGATTTTGCCTTCTTCACGAATTTCTTGCCAGAGGCCGACATTTTGACTCTCTTTGCTGAAGAAGAACCTCCGACATCTTTTTTCCGCTTTCCTTTATCATTCTCAGTTATATTCACATCAACATTACGAGTTTTAATCATTTTAAATACTACAATGGTTGAAACTAAAATGTAATATGGCTATTTCACATGAATCTCCAATGATAATGCCGGTGATTGGGAGTTCTTGTCCGGTTGAAAATTGTAGAGAAAGATAGAGACGTGAGTTTTGTTATAGAGAGAGAGAGAGAGACATGGGTTTTGTATTGTAGAGAGAGAGGAATAGACGATTTTCTGTATGGTAGAGAGAGGGGGCTGGTTTGAATGATAGGGATAAGTACACAAAGAGAGATATGTGGCCGATCAAGATTAAAAATCATGAATAAGTAGTTAACATAATAAATTTATTTTTATTAATTTAAAAATAGATAATTACCACATGATCTTTGAATTTGAATTGTAAACTTGAAAACTAGGGTTTTGGATAATTTTCTCTTCTATATTTTACAAGTATAAAAGGAAAGAAAAAAAAAAGAGGAAACTAAATTTCAAAATTGATGAAAAACAGAAAAAGTAAGGGTCTGTTCTCTTTATCGTTTTTAAGCCGTTTTCTATTTTCGATTTTTCAAAATAGCGAAAACGCGTTCTCTTTCCTATTTTCAAAAACGCGTTTTTGAAAATGAAAAAAAATTTACACACAAAACTGAAAACGTCCAAAAGCTCGTTTTCATCATTTTGAAGCCAAAACACGCTAGTTTTCACAAAACACGGGAAATGAATTCTCAGACTTATCCTCTCTCTCCCGTAACATACGGCTTCCTCTGATTTTCCTCTTCCAATCTCACAATCCATGAAAATTTCTTCCTGTTGCCAAATCTGCGAGTTTTCTACTGGCTCTTTCAATTAGGTTTCTCTACTCTGGCTATACCTCTTAATAATCAATCTGCTGTTTTTTTTTTAACATATTTATTTTCGAAAATAGGAAAACCCAGTAGAGATTTCTTGAATCTAGGGTGTAGTCGAGTGAAGCTTCTACACCGATTTTCTGGTCAATGGAATTGTTGTGAAAAAAAAGAGGATAAATGAAGAGTAGTAGCTCTTGGCAACAGAAAGAGCTCGCATTTTTTACGCAATCGTCATTCGTCGTTCTCTCCAACTCCCCCGCGGTACATCTTTATACTCTGTTACATGTATCTGTTTGTATTTATGAGGTTTTACTGATTTCTCTACTTTGATTAACTGTAATAACAGATCATTACACCAATCTCTATGGTTTGCGCTCTGGATGGATTCCTCGTCGACTTAAAGTATGTAAATTTTGTAGTTATTAATTACTAATCAGGCTAATTGCTGTAGCTTATCATTTTTGCTTCAACTACTCTATTTGTTTAAATGAGCTTTCTTACACGATTTGTTTTGGAATAAATTTAACGAAGGTTTCATTCTAGAAAAAAAGCTTATATGGCATCAAATGCATCCTTCTTCAACTAGTAGCCAAAATTGTTTTCCAGGAATTAAAGCATACCAATTTCAATTGGACATTATTTCAAGTTATTAATAATTACTATAGTACATCTAATTTTGGTAAGTTTCTCTAGGATGTGGTCAAGGAACAAAGGGTCATCGTTGAAAGTAGTTTTTGAATTTTGAAGATTGAATGCTGACAATCAAATCATGTTAAATGGAAGAGATTCAACTAATGTTGCTTGTTAGAGGATATATGGGTGGAACAGAATGTTAGAGAGGATAAATGCTTGGTGATTTTTACTGAAGTTGGAATGAAAGAAAAGAAATGAGGAGCTTAAATAACACAATCGAAATGGCACTTGAGATGATCGCTGAGTTAACGAAATTTTGTGAAATTTTGCAGCATTGGGAGTCTTGGCTAGGATTTGAAAGAACCTGTAGTGCAAAATGTGACAATTAAAACAGTCGACATTATAGATGATTTAAGATTAGAGATTTATAAAATTTGGATCCACATCTATCCTTGTATTCTAGTGTAACTATGCTTTACTTTTTTGTTAATTTACTTTGTGAGAGATTGAATTCTAACTCTAGTTTGAAAAGATATGTTGCAATAGACCGATATTGATACGTCATTGCATTTTCTAAAGTCTGTGAGCTTGTGTTGCCTTTTTACTTGTAAGTGGTTTATCTATAATCATTGAGTAATGTTATTTATTACACGTTGATGATAGTCATCATGTTTAGAGGATTAAAATTGTATTTGGCAAGAATTGTGAGAACTACCATGAACTCGATATGATTGATTTCAAAATATTTATTACCATGACAACATAAGTGCTCCCCTTTTTTGTACCTTNAAACAAAGACTTGCGAAATTTAATTTAAGTTGTGTTTTTTATATCTAGAAAAAAATATTTTAAGATTCACTAAATTCAAAATTTATATGTTATTTAATATTATATTAACATCAAACTATTAAAATTTATTGAATAATCATATTTCTTGAATAAAATATTATTAAAAAATATTTTCAAAATCTCAAAGTAAACGCGTTTTCTCTTTTTATGTTTTGAGAAACAATTTTTCAGAATGATAAAAAGAACGTATTTTCAGCAATTTCAAAACATACGCTCAAAACACAAAAAATAAAATGAATTCAAAACACAAAACTGAAATATAAAAAGAAGTGCACTTTCAATTAGGGGAAAAATCTAGACCTTCTAATTTCTCGAGAAATTATTAACCCAAAATCAAACAAATTCAAACCGCACAGATTACTGAATCAAATGTAGAACTGCGTACGCCCCACGCCTGAAGTCCTCCATCCCTGTTGAAAAGAGATTATCCAGACCTTCTAATTTCTCGAGAAATTATTAACCCAAAATCAAACAAATTCAAACCGCACAGATTACTGAATCAAATGTAGAACTGCGTACGCCCCACGCCTGAAGTCCTCCATCCCTGTTGAAAAGAGATTATCCATTGGCAATAAGCCAAGAACTTAAAAACAAATTAATTTCCTCAACTTGGTGAGGACTTTTTTACTAGTATGCAGCGGTTTTGGATATCGCGTTTATCAATTTCAAACTTTTTAAGAGTGCCAAAGTTGAGGAAACAATCTTTGAATTCATGGTCTGCTGTTCAGGACACCTATTATTCCACCAAGGTACCATGGACAATCTTTGTTTATCGTTTCTGTTATTTTTCTTTTGATTTTGCTTTTCTTTGAATTCAAGTCGAGGCCAATCAATTATTTTATCTGGGATTTCGTTTTTCATGTTGCAGGAAATTTTTGAGAGGCATAGGGTGGTGTTTACCATCTCTACTTCTATTGCATCAATTGCTACAGCATGGGCTGGTATATCGATTTATTACGTGCTATTTAATATACTTTTGATTTAAATTATCAGTTCTTCCCCCTTTGATGTGCTTCAAATAAAAGTTTTGATTTCCAGTGGTCAAGATTTACGTCCGGGTGTGTGTGTCAGGGCTATGTTATGATAATCGTACCTCTGATAATTATGATTGTCATTTGCTATTTGATTTGTTCTGAAAAATGGTTTGCAGTGTCCCTTTACAATAAGTTGCATAGCCATAAATCATTTTTATAATGAAGTCATAAAATTGTCAAATAATCTGATATTCCCCCTCTAGCGGATGTGGATAATCTGGATTTCCAGCTTGCTAGGAATTGATGAAATTTGGAAATTCATAGCTCCTTGGTGAAGTCATTTGGCTGCTTGGTTGATGAAAATTGGTGCAAACATTTGTCCGCTGCCCAATTTTTCTTCATTACGGACAATTTATAACATTCTGTCATGATGGATGGGATTGTGTGCTATATTTATGGCTTCTTTGTTATCAAAGTATAGCAAAATTAAATTTTGAATATTAACTTTGACATCGATAAATACTAAATACTATTTTAAGCCGTAGAAAATCATAAATGTCTTTGGCCATGCCTCTGTATTTAGCCCCAGCACTTGATCTTTGCACCACTTATTAAGCTGATGAGATTGCCACCTAGTAGAGTACATGACCCCGTTGTTGATCTTCTATCAACAAGGGCATGTGCCTAAGTTGTCTTGGGCTTTTTGAAAAAACTGAACCCTTTTACCAGGGACTGCCTTGAGATATTAGATATTGTTTATATGGCTTCTAAATGATTCTTTAGTGGAGAAAACATGAATTGGCTCACAACAATAACTACATAGACAATATTGGATCTTACACGTGATAGATAAATTGGGTTTTTCCCATTTTCATACAAGCACCTCAATCAACTTTTTTCGTTTTTCTCCCCTAGCTTGTAATTTGCCACATTAGTCTCAGCTAGCATGTATGAAAAAACCGGCCTCTTTAAGAAAGTCCAGTACGTACATTGACTAGGATATATAATTTCTTAGTCTGACCGTGCAACTTCAAATCCTATGAAATATCTTAGACCTTTGAGGTCCTTAAATTCAACCTTGCTTGTTATAGTTTGATCCTTCTAATTTCTACATAATCTCCAGTGACCTTTCATCTGCTAAACAAATAGTATTGTCACGTTGCCTTGAGCCAGTGTTTGATAAATAAAGTACGAGATACTTGACTTTATTAATGTTTTCCTTACCACTGACTTTGTACACCTCCTGAACTAGACCATGGAGATTGCTTTAGTTCCTGGAGGAATTTTTGATATGTATAACTTGTTTTGCCCAAATCCCTATGGAACATCCATAGACTTACAATTTTAAGAAGCTATGGACAACGGTATTTTCATAACAAGTTGTTGCAAAGGCCAATTTTTGGTTGCTGCTAGAGATAATTGAACTCTTATGAAGTTCATCTTCACTATTTATGCAAAAGTATCATGGTAGCCAACACCATATGTTTCAGTATACCACTTCACAACAAGCCTTTCTCTGTACCTTTCTATTAATCCATCTTCTTATACTTGATGCTATGAATCCATTTCCCAACCTGGTGTTCTCTTCCCTTTCCGTTTCCCATTTGGTAGGTCTTCTATCTTTAATGTTTAACTTTATTCAATGGTCACATATCTTCATTCATAGCCTGTCTTCCATGGTTCGATGCTTACTGTAGCGCCTCGGGTTCTGTTAACCCGGATTGCTACGTCATCATCTTTTGCAACCGATTTAACTAATAAGATTTGCGGAAAATAACTAAATTTCAAACTTCGCATTTATAACTTTAAAAAGTCTCGAAAACAACAAACCTCATTTAATTAACTTAAGGAATTTGATTAAATTTCAAATCTCGAGTTTTGGAAATACTAAAATAACAAGTACATTAATAGCGTTCAAATACGAAATTCTTTTTAAATGTAAATAACTGAATTCATTAAATCGTTGCCACATTGCCCATCAATCACGATCGCCTCCGAAGTATGCAAATATTGTTAAAATAACAGGGTGAGTATTTCGAAAAAATACTCAGAGACTCATCACCGATAATTAATTTACAAAATAATTGAATACAAACTTTTGCAATATACAACGTGATATCATCATCTTTGGTTCATTTTCTTGAAAATCATAGGCTCTTTAAAATCATGGGCTGTGGGTAGTCTTTTTCGTGCATTTAAAGCACATAAGTTATGCATAACATTCTCATCTTATCTCATAAGAGATTCTCTTCTTTCTCATGTAATAAAGCATATGAGTTACGGCAAGCATAACAATATCATATATCTCATATGACATATTCTCTTATCATGCATTAAAGCATATAATTCATGTCAATTCACATAAGACATGCAATTATAATTTAAATTAATTAATGGTAGCGAGTCTACCTCAAATATTTCGAGTTGCGTGAAAAGTGGAGCGGGAAAATAATTTCAAGCTATTAATCGTTCGTACGTTTCGTCTAGTCAAAAATAGAAATTAGGTTTGAATTAGTATTTCGAAATTTTAAAGTCTTAAAGCGATAAAATAAGGTTTATGGACCTAATTGGATATTTATTAAAATTGAATTTGACAAATCTAAGGGTTGAAAATACAATTTTCAAAGAATTGGGGCTAAATGTGAAAAGTAGGAACTCTAGGGACTTAATTGAAAACTATTGAAACTGAAAATAAAAGTTTAAGAGCTGAAATTGTAACTTTTAGAAGTTAGGGACTAAATTGTAAAGCTGTTAAAACTGAAAATAGAAGTTTAGGGCTGAAACAGTAACTTTTACAAGTTAAGAACTAAACTGTAAATATATTAAAATTGAAAATAAAACTGAAAGGGCTGAAATAGACTTTTTATAAACTAGGGACTTAAGTTAACATTTACTAAAATTGAAAATAAAATTAAAGGACTGAAATTAAAACATTTAAAACTTTGGGACTTAAATAAAACACTTTAAAAATGTGGGGCTTAGAGTGCAATTTTCTAAAATCAAAACAAATTAAAAATCAAACTCTCTCTCTTTCTTTCTCATTTCGAATAAGAGAGAGAGAGGAAGCGACGGGAAGGGGCGATTCGCCACCTTCTTCCGATTTCGCCACCACCTGAGGTGGCGCCGACGGTCAGGTAAGTGGGGGTTTCTTTTGGGGATTTTGGGGGTTGATTTTGGAGTTGTAGAAGTGGCGGATTTTGGTGGATTTTAGGTGAAACTGTGAATGGTGGTGGAAGGTTGAGGTTGAGGTTTGGATGACTGGCTGTAGTTCAACAGTTTGGTGGATTAGTGAGTTTGGGCTGGGTAACTGGAACGTGGGGCTGCAGCTAGGTTTGAGACTGGTGGTTGGAGTTGTGTGTTTGCAGGTTCGGAGATGTCGATTTTTGTGTGAAACCTGGTGTTAATGATGGTGATTCGAAATGGTGGTTCTGGGTCGAGGCTGGGGGCTGCAGTGGACTTGGTGGTTTGAGCAGTGGAGTTGGTGGTTTGGTGGTTTCCTGTTGATGCTAGAAATTAATGTTCTAGCATCAATGGTGAAATCACAGTGGAAGTGATTGAGGGAGAGGGCAGAGATTCTTACCAAATGGATTTGGCTGCGTGAATTTCTGATGATGGGAGTGGAGGGAAATGTGATGAATAAAATAGTGGGATTTTAGGGCACAATTTCCTAAGTGCCACTTGGGCCAATTAGTTGGGCTGTGGCGGTTAATTCCTAATTGTGCCTAAGTGATTTGGACTAAAATAATTTCGTTTTTGGACTTATATAATTGGACTATAAATATTAGGCTCTAAATATTGGACTTGAAATTATTAAAATTGTATCCAAATAAAATAAATCGGAATTGATACTAAAATAATTATTCGATATTTAAACTTGATCGAAAGATTTAAATTTGTTTTTGTAACGGCTAGACGAACGCGCTTTCTCGTTAAAATTAGGGTTTAAATTTAGCGACACGTTTTTCGAGAAATAATTTTATATTATTTAAACGTTCNATTTAAAAATTCTCGGTCGCTACACTTACTGCCTCTTGGAACGGTCTTGTTCAAATTTCATGGCTTTTTAATTGAGTGGTGATGGCATGAACTGGGGTGAGAGCTTCTGTAAGGACACAAACTGAGAGATATACAGGACGTAGTCCCTTTTTTGAGAGAAATAGGTAAATCTAAATCATTAACTGTATTAAAAACATTATTATCAGTATACAACTTTTGTCAATTTTTTCAGAAAAAAAAAAAAGGATTGGAGAGTTTGAATTAGGATTGTGCCACTTTTTCTAGGAATATATATTGAAAATTAGTGGCTTGTTGATCTCCAGTAAGGGAGGATTTTCTAAACCACAGAATTTTTTTTAAATTTTAATTTTGGTTTTAATGCATCGGGAAGAGTAGACATTGGAGAGTGTTAAGAGCGTTAATTTGCTGTGAAGTACTTGGATTAGAATCAGGGGACTTTTTTGGCTTTAGTAAAATCAGATCAGATTCTGAAGGTTCCCACCACCTATCTTCTACACCTTCTCTCCCTCTCAGAAGATAGGTTCTTCAACATTATGGTTGATTTTCCACAAAGGTCACATCTTTAGCAATGCATTTTCCTCTCGAATAGGTGTACATTCCCTTCTTTTAATTGAATACCCTAAGAAAATACACTGATTTTCCTTGGCATAAATTTCCCCTTAAATGACTATAACCTGGATACAGGATGCACAATTCAAAATCTTTAGATTTAACTTCTGAATCCTTTGAATTTTATTTTGTTAAAGAGTAT